AAATTCACATGAGCTCATGGCCTTAATTTATTTCCTAAAACCTGATTTCAGGATTAGGAAATAAATTCCAATTCCCCCTCATCAACCTGACGGCTTGGCCTTTACCGGATTTATCCTAAAATCTTTCCCTAGATGCATTGCCTTCATAAGGAAAGTGTTTAAACTCCTACTGCTGCTGGCCGAATTATCCCAAGCCCCGTACATTGGTTTTTCTCCACCAAAACCTGCCCACAACTCCTCCCATATGGAGCCGTCTACTTGCTAGCGCTGCAGCCAAGGATTTCCCCGTCCCTACTCACACGTTCCCAGCACAGGAAGTTCAAATAGTTGCTGTTTGCATGAACAAACTGCTGTCCAGCAGATCTTCCAAGGTCATCCATCCCCGCCACCGCCGACCTTTCCATAGATCAAGGCCATTGGTGTTGCTACGTCCTCGTGGCATCGTTGGGTGTGCTAAAGACCTTTTTCCACTAAGCCTAGTGTAGTTGAGTGATCCATCCCCAAGGTGAAAACTCTCTTTATTAAGTTGCGGATTGTTGATTAATAGCTTTTGGTATTGATACTATCTTTGGTTACCTAGGAGTTTTTGGTTAATCTACTTGTATTCCTTCACCTAAGCAAGTTAACAACTAAGAACCTTTAATGATTTTACTTGTTATCTCAATAAGCTCTTAATTGTAATTCCATTGTCAATCACTTTTAATTTTCTTAAGAAACTCCTTCGCATGTGGTTTCACATCACTTTTATTGATCCATATAGAAGAATCAGGTTCGAACTAGAATTCACTTATCGACCCGCGCAGCATCCCTAGGCGTCACGTATGTACTAATAACACGCTCGCCGGGGCCCATGCGGGTGATTTTTATATTGATTTAGACGTACCCCATTGTGTACCTATGTGTATACAAACTATAGTGCATGTGCAGGGGTACTTTGAAATATTTATAGTTGTGTAGATAACTATCGTTTGGATGCACACAACTTTTCATTTGAGAGCTTATACACGCCTTCTGTCCGCTAATACGAGTGTTGCGGATCCGGTGGCGTGTGTCTTGATTCATCGGGGAGGTTATTTTTTGGATTTTGGGGTCAATGATCGCTGATCTGGAAAGAACTCCTTTTAGGATCTTCGGTGTAATGGACTTGTTATTTTCGGTGTTTGTGGGCACCCGAACTATTCTCTTCTTAATTATAGAACTAAAAAGAGACTTTGGAATACTAGGAAGTTTGGTTCTAATTTTTTCAAACATTTCCTCCCTTATGTCAGGGGGTGTCCTTTTCGTACATAGAGTCGTCCTTCTACTCAACGCACTTGTAGATCTTGGTCACCGTCATTATAGATAATATCCATACTTATGTCCACAGTGATTCATTATACTTACAATACACTGTTGTTATCCACAAGTATCCATTTGCAGGGGACCATCGTATCCACTACGGCCTCCTAGAGGTATTCGTAGGAGAGTCGTTGTTCTTGTATCATACCCACCCTTTCACCAATCTCAGGTGGGTCTTGATTGTACTTGTTTGTAGAGGACATGTCTTTGATTGCGGGTCTCCAGTATTGCCATCTCAATCAACAGGCTTATGTGGGGATTGTTGCAGGAGTTCACGCAATGAGGTCTCATAACGTACTTCGAGTCACTATTAACCATATAAATGTTCTTGTAGTTTGAACTCCCTCGTGTGTGATTCAAGCTTTGTTCTTTGTATATGTTTGGATCCAAATTCAGTTTCATTCAGACTTGAATTCATCAAGTTTACAAGTCCCCACTTGATGTCGTATAGCCCGAGTTCAAACATGAGCTCGAAGTACATGTTAAAATTGATTGTCCAGGGTCCTCTGAAGTTCTTTACAAGTTGATTTTCATGTTCAAATTGATTTGAATTTGAGTTCAATTTTGATTTTATTTTATTTGAATTTTGACCTTTAGAAATCATTTAAATTTTGTTCTGATTTAGATCCACAAGTCCACTGTTCATTTTGAGTTCATGTTATATGCTTTCAGTTCAAGTACGAGTCCTCTGTTGTCCTTCGTATTGCTGCTCAAATTATGTCTTCTTGTTGTTCAGGTCTTGTGCACTTCAGTGAAAATTTCGGCAGCACCCCAGCATATCTCTTGTTTGGGGGAAAATAGGGGAGCCGGGCCTTCCCACCACGCTACTCGAGCGTGTATGGCAGGTGTCCTTAAACACCGCGGCCGTACAAATTTCATCCCATCACACTATAAGAGTGTGTATGGAGCCTTCAGCAGTACCCGTACCAGAACACCAGTAGCTCTCCCCACCACGCTACAAGAGCGTGTATAGGGCTCACCAACTTCACCGTATGCTTCGCACCGGGCTCCCTCCTACCGTGCTACAAGAGAGCGTATAGGTGGTTCCCCGGTCCGCTGCAAACATCGAGAATGAGATTTTGGAACATCATACCTTTGCGTAGCGGTGTCGTCGGCGATGTCGGTGTCGAGGTCGAGGTCGAGGACCGTCCCCACCACGCTACAAGAGCGTGTATAGGGCTTACCCACCTCGTCGCCCATGTCGCACCGGATTCTCCCCCACCATGCTACAGGAGCGTGTATAGGGGATCCACCGGCGCGTCGAGGCGGGATTTAAGTTAGAAAATTTATACCTTGAAGACCGGCGAAGGCTCGTGGATCGAGGAAAGAGGGCATTCCATTTTTTATTATTATTAATCTTAATTAAATATAATTAATAATAATTAAATTTAATTAATTATAATTAACAATGATTAATTAAAAATAACAAAATTAATTATGATTTAATTAATCATAATTAATTAGAAGTCATTTTTAATTAATTATAATTAAAAATAATTAGATTATAATTAACTAAATTAATTAAGATTAATTTCAATTAATTAAAATTAATATTTTTTTTTCTTGACGGATTTACGGGATTTGGCCAAGAAGTGTGTGAAAGGCAGAGAGTTACCTTCACAACCGAGCTCTCCTCCCTGCTTCCGATCAAAATGTCTCAACTTTCGATCCAACAGAAGGAGAACGCCGTCGAGGGGACAAAGTCGAGCAGCAACAGGGAAGCCGAAGAAGCGTGCGATCCAGAGAGAGTTACCCTCACAGCGTGTGGAGCTCCCGTGCTCGCTTCCGATCAAAATGGGTAACTTCCGATCCAACTGGAATGGAAAGTCGTCAAAGGGGCGAAGTGGAACAACCAAGTAAGAGCCGAAGAAGCGGCGGGAGGTAGAAAGTTATCTTCACGGGTAGCGATCTCCGGCCCTAGCTCCCGAACAAAATGCCGTAACTTCCGATTCGAACAGGAAGGGACGTCGGAAGAGTGAAGTCGTCCAGCCACGAGGGATCAGAAGAAGCGGCGGAAGGGAGAAAGCTTCTTCCACGGCAAGCGAGCTCGCGTTGTTTCTTCCGATCAAATGTCGTAACTTTCAATCCTACTGGAAGGTCGTCAAAGGAGCGGAGTCGGACAGCACGAATGGAACCGGAGAAGCAATGCGAACTTCCGTCGTTTCGTCCGATCGAACTGTCGTAGCTTCCGAACCAAAGAGAAGGGAAAGTCGTCGAACGAGCGTAGTCGGATGAGGGAGAGAGCGATTGCGAGAGACCAAGAATGAGAGGCTCGATCTCATTTTAATGTCGAGACGAATTGTGCGTGACGAGACGTCGTCGTGCGGGCTTCGTCCGGAAACGAGATTTGCGCGGCTCAAAATCTGGCGCCAGACAGGTACGTTAACCTTTTTTTTTTTTTTGCTTAGGTATGTAGGTCAACAGCTAATAGATAGTTGGCACAAGATGCGGCTTAATCTACATTCTGCTTACTTAGCGAGCACATTAACATAATTAAATACTGCAATGAAGAAAAAGCTGGGGATTTAACAAGACGCAACAAACTACAAAAGCCACGCAACATAAATCCAAACAACACGAACCACACAGCCAAAGGAAGCCACGAGGATAAAGCCAAGCACAACCAAAGTACAGAAGGATAAAACCAACATCAAATGCCCAAGCCCCGCATCAATTACGTTATTTAATGTGTATATTTTGAAATGATTTCAACTAAAAGAACCAAGAAACTTTAAACATTAATTAACTTGAAGAAAAAAAGAAAAATAATCTACTACAACCTGACAAATGGCTACGTTATATCTTTCATAATAGCTAGTTAGCTAGGGGAGTGGGCGAATATTGGTCTTAATAAGGAGATGATAATCGTTACAACCAAAGAACATAACATAATGCCAAAAAAAAAAAAACTCCAGAGTAAAGAATCTTTTGTGGAAAAAATAATACTTGTATTCCATGTAAACCATCCCACTTGCTCCAGACAGTGCGCTCATGGACCCGACAGAACGTCGAGCCTTCAGAAGAGCAATGTCATCTGCATCTTCATCCAGCTGCTCAAGACCCACAGCATCATCTCCAGCATTCAGAACCTAACGAAAATGAATAATTACATCGACCAACTTGAAAAAGAAGTCTTTTACAAGTCACCCTTTTTTGGAAAGGTAAATCAAAGAACCTTGTTTAGGAGGTCAAGTTGCTCGTTCAGATGATAATAGCTCAGTTCTGGCCCTGTATCAGGAGGCGGCAAGCTAGTTATGACCTGCAATATAGAATCTATTTATTAACAGATTACACGATTCCAGAGTACTAAAATATTTAAAATAGAACACAGGGACCAGACAGCTATTGAAGAATCACATCGCCAACAAATTGGAGGCTAATAATTATGCAGAAGCATGCCTGAAAATCTTTACTATGATTTAAGCCTTCTCTGCCTGCGCAATAATAATAGAAACAAAAACTATACAAATCTAAGCTAAGACAGGTCACATGGAGGAAAGGAATTGTGAAACAAGAATTGTGCAATGCAGGATAGAAAAATGCCTCACAATCAAAATAGAAATACAAGATTTTACAATCTTAAAGCTAACAAAGTGGCTGTAAATATAGGAGTTATTCACAATGAGTTTTGCAAACATTTGCAGCTGCAGAAAGCATCAACAAAAAAAGTACAAGAATACGTGATAACATTTTAATCAACTCAATCTCATATATCGGCCTTTGTTCTTGAATATTTCCAATAAGTCAACATAAAAATTTTAATCAAATTAACCCCATGAAGGCTTTTTGTTGACCTTATGGGCCTAGTGCTACATTATAGATTTGTTATGATCACAAACATAATTTGCTTGAGATTATTCTTTGGGACCAATCCATCTTTCTGCAGGTTTAGTAAATGACTGTTTATGTACACGAGAGAGTCTAGATACAGCTATGTGTGCAAAAATAGAACATACAAAAGTTCAATCGTAACTCAAGCAAAAAATATATGGATTAAAATTCACAATCCTAGAAATTTAGGAAGAGTTAAGACAATTCAGATGAGAGCTACAATATTCATGTTCGAGAAAGCTCACAAAATCTAAGAGAAAGAAAAAGAAAAGCTGTTTTTAGGAGAGATCTTTTTTCATTTATTTAAAAATCCTAAGAGGTGAGATATGATGTAGCAGCAGCCTTTGGGGGCTGAACCTGGACAGAATTTTTACTTTTGTTTTAGGAGGACCCAGTAAAATATTAATTCATTATGTGAGAAGAGGAATTGAGGAAGGGATCAATAAGAAAAGATTTCCCACATGAAATTCAAATTGGAGAGGGAAATATATTAGGAAAGAGGGCTGATTTGGAGGGGATTAATTAGGAAATATTTCCTAATTAAAGAGGACAGATTTGGGGCTAATTTGGTGGTAGATTTGGAGGGGGTTAATTAGGAGATGTTTCCAAATTAAAAAATACTGATTTGTTGGCTGACTTGAGGGCCGTTTTGGTATTAATTATTTATTGTTTGCTATAAGTAATATGGTTTATGTTATGTTTTGTATGTTGAATTTTGGGAGTGTTTGATTTCTACTATTTTTGTGAGGGATTCTAGCGGCGTCAAAAGTTTGGGAGAGACGGTCCTCCCAAAAGAGGACCATTGTATCTTGCTTTTGCATATTTCTTTGTTCAACAATAAAAACATGCAGTTTGCTGAATTTATATTAGTTCGTTGTGCTTTTTTGATACCAAGGCGTATCAAATTTGTACCAGAGCACTTTTCTGGACTGAAATCTTAATTTATTTTACTGATTTTTGTCAAGATTTTCCTTTACCTCTGCTGATTTTTGCTGTTTGGAGGCCAGATTCGTGTCGAAGTTATTGTTTTTTGCTGTGAAAACCTTGATTCGGGTATGAATGACTGCTATCCGTGAACAGGTTGACAAAATATGAAAGACTGCTAGCCGTCGCTCTATGTATTAAACGGAAGGCACTAGCATGGTACCAATTGAGGGAGACGAGGTACCCAATCCGTTCGTAGGAGTACATTTGTTGGTGCGCTTTCGAGCCCAGTAGGATAGGGATTTCTATGAGCAATTATTTGCATTGACACGGGGGCACGGTGGAGTATCGGAAAAATTTTGGGCTTGTGTCATGATGTGTAGGGAGGTTATCGGAGACCATGTTGAAAAGGAAAATCATGAAAGACCTCAAATCAAAGTTGAGAGCAGCAATGCGTGTGGCAAGGCCCCGTGACTTGGGAGAGGCGATGAAATTGGCTCAGATGATTGAGAACAAGAAATCACTACAAAAGATTAGTAAGGAGTCAATGGAAGAGGTTCTTACCACACAGTGACCACTTTCCTGGCACCTAGAGTGTAGACTGTACCAGTTAAAAGGAAGACTCCAAAGGAAGGCAGTTCGAGAGCCCGACAGGGAGGGGATTTCAAGAGGCTGATTGATACTAAACTGCAAGACAAGGAGCTAATGGGCTATGTTTCAGATGCGAAGAGAATTTTACAATAGGACATAGGTATGTGATGAGAACGTGGAGAAGGCAGAGACAACGACGGAGGAGGAAGAGGAAGAGAAGCTCATACACTTGGAGGTAATAGAAGTTTTATTTAACTCTATAGTGGGATGCACCCTGAATCACACTATGAAAGTGAGGGGAAATATATGAGAGGCATTGGCGATCCTGGTGGACAGTGGGCTACCCACAACTTCATATAAAACTAGGTGGTAGACAAAATGGGCCTGTAATTGTCAAACACGAGATGTTTAAGAGTAATGATAGGCACCCTAAAGGTGAAAAAGAGCAGATTTTGTGGTATAACTGTAGGGGATTCACACCACTGAAGATTTCCTCCCATTAGTATTGGAAAGTACTAATTTAATTTTGGGAATGAAGTGGTTACAAATTTTGGAAGAGACCAAGGTAAACTGGAAAGCATTACCCATAAAAATCCAAGTGGAAGGAAGAAAGGTGGTAATCAAGAGGAATCCCAACTTATCCAAAAACAACAATGGTTTTTTTGAAAATCATGGTTCGTGCCCTACAAGGAGGATAGGGATTCCTGGTGGAGCTTCATAGTCTAGAGAGAGAAGAGACAAAGAATGGAGAGGACATTCCAGACATTGTCCAGCCCCTTCTTTAGCAGTTCAGAGAGGTATTTCAGCTTCCCCAAGGATTACCAACCCCATGGAAGCACGAGCATTCTATTGTTCTGAGGGAAGGAGTATCTCCCATCAGTGTCTGGTCATACCGCTACCCTCAAATCCAAAAGAATGAGATTCAGAAGTTGATTTGGGAGATGCTTGAAGATAAAATTATCAAGCTTAGTGGGAGCCCTTTCTCTAGAAGGATGGGAGCTGGAGGTTTTGTGTAGACTATCGTGCCATGAATAAGGAAACGGTACTAGATAAGTTTCTCATGCCCTTCATCGATAAGCTATTAGAAAAGTTGCATGGATTTGTGATATTCTCCAAAATAGAGTTGAAATCCGAATCCCACCATATCAGAATGCAACTAGTTGACACCCATAAGACAGCTTTCCGGATTCACTAGGGACACTATGATTTCCTGGTGATGTCATTCAGCCTCACTAAAGCGTCGACCAACTTCCAGTCCCTAATGAATAGATTATTCCATCCCTACCTGCAAAGGTTTATTATGCTTGAATTTTTTGACGATATACTGGTGTATAGCAAGTATGATGGAGAACACATGGAGCATTTGAGAGTTATGTTATCCACCTTAAGAAAGCACTCTTTATTTTTCAATCAGAATAAGTGTTCTTTCACCTAACCTAGATTGGAGTATTTAGAGCATGTGATATCTCAGGAGGGAGTGGCATCTGACCAGAGTAAAATTGAGGCCACGCTTAGATGGACCGTACCTCAGATTTTAAAGAAGTTGAGAGGATTATTGGGACACATAGGCTATTACCAAAAATTTGTTAAAGGATATGGTTCCATAGCAGAGCCGTTAACGGAACGGCTCAAGGACAACTTCAAGTGGAGAGAGTCAGCCACCAAAGCTTTTGAGGAGTTAAAGAAGGCTATGTCCAGTGTGCCAGTATTAGCTCTTCTAGATTTTAGCCAGCCTTTTTTAGTGGAGACAAATACCTCGGGATTTGGGTTGAGAGTGGTACTCTTGTAGAACCAGAGACTAGTGGCCTATTTCAGTTAGGTGTTGACGTCTAGGGCAAGACTCAACTCATTCTATGCGAGGGAGTTAATGGCAATCGTGTTGGACATTCAGATATGGAAGCCTTATTTATTTGGAAGATATTTCGTCGTCAAAACCGACCGAAGGAGTTTGAAGTACTTGTTGGAGCAAAGAATGGTCACTGAGGAGCATCAAATGTGGCTTTACAAATCATTGGGCTATGATTTTGAGATTTAGTACCGACTTGGAGTTGAAAACAAAGCAACAAATGGTTTATCCAGGTGCATGGGGGAACCCCAGATGATGGCATTGTCTGCGACCTAGGTGGTTGACTGGAAAGAACTAAGGATACAGCAAACCAGGACACATGGTTCAGGAAAATTAGGGAGTCGGTAAAAAATAAGGACATCCATCCAAAATATTAAGTGGTGGGACAAAAGTTGCTTCATTATGGGCGGTTTTGTGCTTCCAAGACCTCTACTTACATTCATTGCTTGCTTCAAGAGTTTCATGGGACGGCCATTGGGGGATATTCATGGGCCAAAAAGACATCACTAGCTCTCTGCAGAACTATATTGGGAGGGTATGCAGAAGGATGAGAAGATGGTAGCTAGCTGTGATACAAGTATTTAGCTATGTCTCCATAAGGGCTACTCTAGTCGCTAGTTATGCTAGAAAAAATGTAGGAGGAGGTAACCATGGACTTAATTGAATAGTTTCCAAAGTCATAAAGATACACTACGATACTGGTGGTTGTGGATTGGTTGAATAAGTATGCACATTTCATTTCCCTTTTCCATCCCTACATAGTAGTAACAATAGCCACGATTTTCATGAGTGAGATAGTGAGACTACATGCAATCTTGAAATCGATTATATCGAATCGAGACAAGATTTTTTTGAGCCAGTTTTGGAAGGAATTGTTCAAAATGTAGGGGACCGTTCTAAAAGGGAGCATTGCTTATCTTCCGAAGACTTACGAACAGACAGAGGTGGTCAATCATAGTGTGGAGACTTATCTATCGAATACACCAAAGTTGTGGGCAAAATGATTGGCTTGGGCAGAGTATTGGCATAACACTTCCTATCATTCGGTAGCTCAAACTACACTGTTCAAAGTGTTATACGGAAGAGACCCACCTCACTTAATATATTATGGGGAAGGCAACACACCGGTGGCTTCAGTAAAGAAGTACTTCGAGGACAGAGACAAGATCTTGAAGTAGCTAAATGGGCATTTGTGAAGAGCTCAACAAATTATGAAGATAAAAGCATATAATCAAATGAGAGACATTCATTTGAGGTGGGGGACAGAGTTCACTTGAAGCTTCATCCCTAAAAATAGAAAATCTTGCCAAGGAGACGGAATGATAAGTTATTGCCCAAATATTTTGATCCATAAGAGATAATGGAGCGCATCAGAGAAGTGGCATATCGCCTACAGTTACCGCCATCGTCAACCATCCATCTGGTGTTTCATGTGTCTCAGTTGCGATGGGTAATAGGAGAGCACATTCCGTCTTCTTCACTTCCCCCGACCTTGACAGATGACATGGAGGTGTTATTGGAACCATTAGAGGTCAAAAAAGTGCAATAGGGAGTACATGAAAGTAAGAAAGTGTTGATTAGGTGGAAGGACCTATCAGAGCACGCAGCCAAGTAGGAGTCCTACCAGATTATTCAACAGTAATTCCCTTTATTCCACCTTGACGACAAGGTCATACTTTTAGGGGTAAGTATTGATGCATCGATAACCCTTGAGGGGACTGAACCTAGACAAATTTTGGCTAGTGATGTGGGACCCAGTAAAACATTAATTCATTATGTGAGAAGAGGAATTAAAGAATAGATCAATTAGGAAAGATTTCCTGATTGAAATTCAAATTGTAAAGGGAACTATATTAGGAAAGGGGCTGATTTGAACAAAATTAATTAGGAAATATTTCTTAATTAAATAGGACAGATTTGGGGGCTGATTTGGAGGGGGTTAATTAGGAGATGTTTCTTAATGAAAGAGGAAAGATTTGGGTACTGATTTGAGGGTCATTTTGGTATTTGTTGTTTATTTTTTGCTATAAGTAGTAGTAAGCTTTATGTTTTGTTTGTATGCAAAATTTTGTGAGTGTTTGTTGTCTACTATTTTTGGGGAACCTAGCAGCGTCTAGTATTTGGGAGAGACGGTCCTCCTCTTGAAAGAGGACCATTGCATCAATTTTTTGCATATTTCCTTGTTTAGCAATAAAAACATGCTATTTGTTGAATTTATATTGGTTCATTGACTGTTTTTATACCAAGGCGTATCAAGATCCCATTATGAGAGTGCACTTATTAGATTATTTTCCTCTTTTCTTTCACCTTAATCATCAAGTTGTGTTATGCTGCTTGTTAAGAGCTTATTGTATTAAAGATTCTAAGGGATCCATGAGATCTCAAAGCTTACTTGGTGTATTTGATGGATACCTGGTCGGCTAGAGTAATGATCTTCTTGCTTAGAGTAGAAGAGGGTATAAGATTTATTCATTAGACATCAAGGAGAAGGGATTCTACACCCGGTGGCGATCAAAGAAGAGTGTAGTTGATATACTTGGGTTGGAGATATCCATGCTTGAATGTGGCGGTTAGTGCCAAATTATAAAAAATCGGTCTTTGCCCACTTTCTTTTCTCTTTATTTACTTTCTTGCACCATTACCTACACTTGTGACAATGATTAAACTTGTGACTGATGATGATTTTGTATCTTGCACAAATCACTAAACCTAATCTTAGAAGGTGGCAATCGGATCTAGTCAAACAATGTTGCTAGCTATTCATTTTTAAAATTGCCTCATCATTTGCTTTAGATTAAATCCATCATTTTATAAATCAATTCACTATATAAAACAAAAATAACTTTCTCAATGATTTTAAATTTTATTATTTTATATCTCATTTTTTATGTCGTTAAAAAAAGGGAGCAACATCTTGGGTGTTTGAATATAGGGGAAAAGAAAAAGAATAACCATACAGTTTGTACAACTAGATAATTTCCCCATTATAACTATTACATGAGAGACACAATGGAAGAACAATGCCGTCATGGATATAGGGGAAAAGAAAAAGAATAACCAACCAAACTATAGTTTTAAAAGCGCCTCTTCCATACCTTGAAGCTATAGCCCTGATCAATCAAAAATTGCTGCCTTTTAGTGGAATAATACATCTCCTGCATTCATAGCAAATTACTGTGAAGCATAGCAAAAACCATGTTTACAAATAGCTCTCCCATCCAATAACTGTTAGGAAACACAAGAATTTAACAAAGTGAGAGACAAAATATAGTGCCTGTGTATCCGTGGACACTAAAGAGTAGAAGAAAGCATTGTACTCTTCTTTCCCACCAGCCATTCTGTCTTGTAACCGACCCTAGATCAAGGGCAGAAGGTTGAAAAATAGTGGTTTCGAATGTCAATAAACTTTGACAACAAAATATATTATTATACTAATCATTACTACCTTTGCCCTGAGAATGCGACCCAATCTCTGAGCTTCTTGACGGCGTGAACCCGCATGAGACGAGATCTGTATTATCACATTGGCTTCTGGAATATCAATTGAGTTGTCACCAACCTGAAACAAACAAAAAGAAGTGTACAAACTAACAGTAAGGGGTATTTGGCAATAAGTGCATAAGTGCTTTAAATCATTTAGGGGTTTGAAAATGCTTTTTTCTAAATAAGCATATTATTTTTTGGAAATAAGTGCTAAAATCTTACAAATTAATTTTTAGTTGTTGAATAATATTTTTAACAGCAGATCATAATGTCAAATGACCAAAACAGTTGTGCTTTATTAAGTAACAATTAGGGTGTAGTAGCTTGAGGGAACGCAACGTGTTTTATTTTATAATTTTAAATTAAGTGATAACTTCTAATGTAACTAATAGACTGTAACTAAATTAAATATTTTTGGCTGATCATTTCTACCTATTTCTAATGAAAAATAAAAAGAAAAACTTGTTGGGACATCGTTGCAATTCACATATCTCACCAAAAACAACAAAAACTCGTTTTCTTATCAACCAAATAAGAAATGAAAATTATTTCTCAATTTCTTCTCAACCAAACAAATGCATAAAATTATTTTCAATTTAATTCCCTTACCATTTCATTTCCATTTTCTTTAATTTACTCTTTCAATTTCTTCAAACCAAAAAGAGCCTAAAGAAAACTAATGATAGGCATGTCCTTTACTTCATCCAACAAAGAACTTCTAGAATAAAGTTGGTAGGGCAATTTTAAAAAACAAACAAAAAAGTTATCATAACCATTTTAAAAAGAATTTTATCAAACACAAAAAGCAATCAAGTTCATAAAATCATATTTGACCTGCATTAAGCATTTTTAATATCATTTGTCAAAAAAAAAAAATCTTTCAAAAGAGAAAAACTTAGTATCATCCAGCTATGGAATCAGCGTTGAGTAAGCTGCAATGAAATGCCATAGAAAATTACCCTTAGTTACAGCCAAGCTCAACAGTGATCACTTCTAATGCAACTTCCAATATAGTGTGATAAATCAGAAGCAAATTTCTTGATTTGAAAATGAATATGATCGAATCACAAGGCTGCATGGTGACCTTACACATTCTTTTCTTTCCAGGGCAGCCTTTGAAAATTACTCGAAAGTGCCTCCTAACAATTTATGAAAAGTAGTTGAGGTCAGCGATATTCCTTCTCTGCTTGCCTAATTCATTCTTGGTTTTCAATATTATATTTCCTTACCACCACGAGATATGTCCCACTGTCTTCTCATTTTAGATTTACTTCAATCCACAAAAAACCTACTCACATTACTGCAATCACCTTGTTTCTTAGAATTCTAGATTGCCCAGAATTCTGCAAAAAATTAACACATTTTAAAATGATCTTGAAGATTTTCCTTCTAAAATGGCCATGGCACAAAACATGTCATTACATATTTATGTACCTTCATACTCTCATAATATCAATATATATTTAAGTCATTTGCAGTCATAACAATTTCTATATCAAATTACTACCATCATATATGCATTTAAATTTACATTGACTTACTCATAATAGTCTCCAAAAATGATTAAAACAATTATATAATATACTACTTTCACATTTGAATTGAAAATACAATAATGAAATTTTACACAACTATAATTACACACTTTGTATATTTCCAAGCTTTAATTTATTCTAAACATCGTGCTTTGCTATGGATTTTCAGCACTAGTTTCAACTCAATTATGAAGATCTTTCACTATTCAAAATTACACAATTATATCTTAATTAATATTAAATTTGAATGCCTAAAATATAATACTAAAATTGGATGCTTAAATATCATCCAAAAGCAAACAACAAATTTCCACCACAATTATTACACTATCTATCTTTATAGTATAAATTACCTCACAAAATTTTTCCTTCCAAATGAATTTTTTCTTTCTTCACTTTACAATCGAAGTTTACATATTCTTCCTATCTATTAGAAAAATAAACGTACGTAAATTCCAAAACTTTTAAATTACTTCTTCCTCTATCGTCAGATGTAGAAGAAAATTCAAAATTATAATTTCCTTCCTCTTCCTCTTCCAACTTTCTTTTTATGCTCTCAAATTAGATGTCAACATTTACTTGGTTTCTATCATACAAGAAACAGCAAAGAATAGGAATAAAAAAATAAACTTACTTTCTTCCTTCTCCTTCCTCTGTGTCGTTTCTCTCGACTAGAACTTCTATTTTTTCCGTTGATTCCACAAGAATGAGTGAAGCAGATATATCTCGCAGGAGTTTTTCACTCCCTCATGCGTTTATCCACTTAAAATGGTGAATCCACCTATCCAGGAGGCGTATACACGCAATGGTCACTCGATCGCGTCTGAGTCGCGGCTTCGTCCGCCCGTTCGACTCGGATTGCCCTCTGTTATCGGGTAGAAGCTGGTTCAGTTGAACGTTGAACCGGTTCTCAAATACATAAAATATTTGATCAATAAAAATATTTCTGCTACTATTTGTATCATTGATAAAAAAAATTAGATAGCTCTAGTGGTTGTTATTATTAACAGATAAAAGAAAGAATTCTTTCAAATTTGATTTTTAAGCATTACATATTTTGTCTCTCATGGATTGCAACAAAATCAGTTTATCCTTAGGGGACTCACTTTAATTAATGCATTTGATCCTTTTAACTCTAACTTTTTTTTGTTTACCCATGGGCCACTTTGTACATGAAACATTGCCAATTATTTTCTTTTTCTCGGTATTGTTTTCAATATTGTTTGCAAAATCCCACCTGCCACCAATTCGAGGTCACAAGTATATTAACAATGTTGTAACCATATGATGATCATACTTAACACTACCTAACCTCAAGAAAATTAGTTTTGATCTTATATAACTACAAATGTAAGCATCCATCTCACTAAATTCAAATCAAAGATCAATAAAGAGAGCACAACTCTAGCCAGATTAAGGATTCCAAGGACAGAGGTCTTTAAATTCTATCAGATCAAAAATCAATGGACAAGGAGGCCTTCAAACTAAGGCTCACCTACATTCCTTTGCAATTTTAAGAGCTATTATGTTTTTCTTTTTATATATTAGTTTATTTGCCTTATCTTGCTAGTTTTTAGGACATGTGATTCCTCTCAAATAAGTGGGAAAGCTTATTGAATGGATCGACAATACTTAAAACCACAAAGAAGGAAATCCCTCCTAAGGCCCAAAAGATCAACAAAGGGAGACAAAATATTGGATGATTCAAATATGACAATGTAGATGATGTACCACATCATATAAATGAAGATAATCAAGACAAAAGTTCAATTACAAAAGTTAAGACCAAAGCTCAAGAAAATGATAAAAAAAAAGATCCAATTACAAGAGCTCGATCAAAAGCCCAATATTAGTACCATAATTTTAGATATTTTAAATGTAATATATATACTATTTATCATCTAAAAGCTTGTGTGGTCAGCCATGAAATGTTTAGGTAGGTGGAAGTCCTCTTTAATATCCACTAACTCCCTTAATTTTTTCCTCTTTTTTTTTTTGAATAGTTATCTTATAATTCATATAATATGGGTTGATATGCATTATAATTTTAAGTTTTTGATTGAAATAATTTTATAGAGAAGGCTGAGAAGCTATCTTTATTTGCTTGGTGTTTAGTGGCTTCAAGTGTGTTTGTTGCTTTGGTAAAATTTGGTAGTTATCTTTACCTTTTTTATGTTACTTATAAATCTTCTTAAATACCGGCCCTAAATCATTCACAACTCTTCCTCTATTTCATAAACATCCCTCAAGATCAATAAACCAGCAATGTGAATCATAAAACCCTTCTAAACACTTTCATATAGTCATTGACCCAAATAGGGAACACTTGAATCTAATCTTATTTCCTACACTTCAACATCCTCTTATCTGCCAATCCCTATCATTAACTCAAGATCACAAGTTCACAACTTAATCTAACATTCCACCATCATTTATAGTTATTTATCTCACATAAAGGTCACTTTCTAAAGTGATCTTCCAAATCAACCCAAACAAGACTACTTTTAGCATTTCTTCTAAAAAACCTCTCTAAACCCTCATAATTCCACAATAAACACTAGAACAGTTCTCTACGTATCAAATTTAAAATCCATAGATTTTTTCTAGTCATTAATCTTACCAAAAGGCTGCCCACCACCATTGGTAGGTTCTTCAATTTAGTTGGGAATAAGAGCGATAGTTCAAGGAATGTTCACCTGTGTTTTCAAGAGAATGAATTGTTGTGGAATTCAAAACTAAAAATTATGCATGTGTATGCATAAGAAAGTGTGGACTCTAAGTTGAACAACTAGATGTTGGGTACTTAAATTAGAGGAGGCGGAGTATGAAAAAACAAAAGCATGATTTCTGGAGCAGGACTGCAAGATTGTCGTGCTCAGGCGCAAGGATATAGTCACATACATGTTGCATTAGTTTGGGTAAGGAGCTACAAGGAGCATATGAGAGTATTATGTTATGGTATATGGTGTTAAGTGAAGTGTTTGCATTGATTGGATATTTGCATGAGAGGCGGATGGAGCATAGCAAATGCAATAGGCATCACTGAAGATGTGTGTTAGGCATAGCAGGAAAAGGGAGCTAAAGTTGCGTGTGCATGGGATTCTAAGGAGCAGGTTCATTGTAGAGATTAGGCAGAGGCCGAGCATTGAACAAGAGATAAGAGGGAAAGCAAACAATCACATGTATTATGCATTACAGATGATACCATCAACCAAGAACTGTTTGTTCATTTCGTAGAATAAAAAATGTACATGGAATGTAAACCACTCTTGACAAATGTTCTATTAAACATCATTTAGCAAAATGGCATAAATTAAAACTTTGCATTACATCATTTCTTGGGAGGATTTCTAAAAGGACTTCAAGAACAATGTCCTAAAATGTTTCACTTTCAATGAACAACTCAGACAAAGTTTGGCGGTGAAGGAAAAAGGCTGTAATAATGTCTAGGCAAATCACAGTTGTGAATGCTTGGTACAATATAATCTGTTGTAGTCAAGTCAGATCTTCCGTAATGAATAAATATTATATTTACAGCACAATTTTTTTATATCATTTTTACTTAGAAGCAACAGTATGTCATAGAAAAAGTCATCCTAGCAAAAGAAACTGAAAACACTTAATAAAAGAAAGAAAAGTATTCAATAGAATTTTTTTGTTAACAAAAGTTCATTTGACACCCAACAAAGTGACATTCATTGAGACCTTAATAGCGATTACTTAACTCCAAAGCATGTAGTATCATGTCCTTTCTTTTTTTTTTGCTAATACAAAACATGACCGGGCAAAAGTTTTGACAAAATCACAACAAAATGATATAGTAATGGCAAGGCTCTTCACAATTATCCATTAAAATGAATTGCAGAATATAATACAGTTTAGCCATATCAAAGTCTGACAAATATATGAATGTCATATTCACATGCATAGTGCATTCTCTATCATTTAGCTACTTGAAAGCTCCAGTATGCCATGGAAAAACCCATCCTAGGAAAAGAAACTAGCATTCACTCCATGTAGAAATTATCATTTGAAGTACAATTGATTTAATTTGTCGGATATACCTTAGACAAAAAGATTGTATTAACATCAGGACTATGTTTGAATGCTTGAAGAATCCTTGTTCTTTCCTGGTGGCTAAAAATAAGATGAAGACGATATTAACAACAATAAGTTCAAGAATATAACACCGAAATATCAAATATCATCAGCTAATGTACCTGGTTGCACCATAGATCATTGGTTTCCGAAGTTTCATTGCATAAGCTGTGAGCGCAAAAAGATTATCCGCAAATACGATAATCTTATCACCACGCTGTTGCTCATGAAAACGAATTAAAAACTCACAAGCCCTGAATTTATTAGGATTCATGACGTATAGAGCCTGACAACAAACATATCATAGAAAGAAAAATATGTGAGCAATACTACATATTATGCATCATAATTGTTCATATGCGCCTACTTTTACAAGACAGTTAATACAACAGGGAAAAAGTATTAGGAATGTGTAACTTCCATGCTGTATGCACTCCAGCTAGTACAAAGACCAAGGAGCTACCCATCTTAGACTTAGCCATATCAATTTCACCAAAACATATTTCAAAAGTTTGTCCAATTTTGTAACAGTGCTAAAGTGGCTACTAAAAAGTTGAAATGATTAAAAAAATATATCATTTTAAATACAGTAAGTGAAGTTGTTCCCAAATGGTTCTTAATTCACATTTGGATCACAATTAAGACAGGATAAATAAAAAAACATGAAGAAGTAGTTGACTTCAAGAAGTATAAACTACAAAATCATTGGTAATCCTGATAATCAAAACTAAACTACTAAATAATGCATCAAATATAACCCAATATGGAAACCTTCCTAATATTCTACATTGTTATTTTATTGACAAACAAATAGAGGAACTGTCAAAAATGATTCAATCTACTAGTTTGACACATGAGCTCCAAAACCATAAAGTATCATCACAATATAAGAATACATTACATCATACTTACGTAGACCTTAAATAGTTGGGATAAGGCTATTGATGAATATAATATGTAATGTTGATAATGCACATCATAAAAAAGGGCACAGCCAAGGTAACAATTGTGTAAGTCCACACAAACATGTACATACATTGCATGCATATGCATGCATACTTGTTTATAAATTAAAAACCCATTCCTGCCCTACAGAACAACATGGGAACACAAAAAGAAAATGATCATAAATTTACATGTTTATGGGCGATGTAAAGACATGGTTATGACTATTGTTGACCTCCATGTTTATTAGTTATGTAAGGAAATGGTTATGAGACTAGTTTGGATCAAAATATATCACATTATTCCAAAACATCCAATCATCACAAATTTGCAAAACGAATTGAGATGGTGCATCCTTAGTGTTGAATTACCAAGAAAGGGTGACCAGATTCAATTCAAACAAACCCAATAAAGACGATGAACAGTGGAGACATTATCAAACAAATCTTGTTTGAAATGCATCTACTAAAGTAAAAAACCACTCCATATCGCTCGTTTCATAAAACAGACAGCATAAATATGACAAGAGTATCAAAAATATCAAAGAAGCACCTCACCAATTTAATTCAATCGATCTCGACAAAAACTTCAAACAACAAATGTATCAATCACATAAATTGAGTTCAAAATACCTCAACTGCAATCAAAATTACTCAAACTTCGCATTCACAAAATAGATTTCACTGAGGTATCTGGAATTTCAAACTTTCCTAGAACGAATATTCATATTACTCAAATTTCCACATTAGGGAAATTCAAAAAAAAAAACAAAAAACCATCTGCATACTAGGCAAAAACATGCAATTCAAAATGAACAAGAAATGAGAAATTGTGTGAGAAGTTTATTAACATTTACTTTGTCCTTTTTTATTTTCTTTTGAATGATTTATTAAAAAAATAAAATAAAATAAAAATCTCATCAAATCAAAACCCCTGAATCTTGTTTACCTCTCACTCCCACCCTATCAATCATGCAAATGAAGTGTTATAACAATCCTGTCAGGTTGTTTCAAAATAACACCTAAACCTAAATTCCATTTCCCATAATTCCCTCTCTCCCTCGCAGTATCACTAGCAACACTAACCCTCATGCCACCCCCAAGCTACTAACCACCACTATTAGCTCACCTAACCCACTTTTGCACACAGCTTGCTTGCACATGTTCTAGCTCCACCAAACACCTTCTATGCATGCTAGTGTCCCACTAGCATTCATCCAAGTGTCCCTCACAAGCCACAATGCCGATATCCTCTCAGCCCACTCGTATCTTTTTTCTGCATCCTCAACTTTCACCATTCAACACATCTACCTCTGATGACCTTCTTTGTACCCTCTAGAAGTTAGGCTCTATCTAAAACACACCTCGAGCTTTCTTAATAACTCAGCTTGGCCATGTTTGTATACCAATCTTCCTTCTCCATCACCTCTTACAACAACATCTCCTATGCCAAATTGCCCTACTACATCTCAAGCAACCCAAATCCTCCAACAAACACCTCCAGACTGGCCAACCTAGCAACCCAACATTAGTGATCTTTTCTTTAAACCCTAGTCGACCTCTAAACCCACTCTATCCCTTTCTCATTCTACAACATTTCCCTCTTCCTAAAACGAGAAAGTGAACACAAGCGAAGCATGTAGGAAATGATGAGGGCTTACGAGCTAGGGCGTCGAGCCTTGCTAGACAAAGTTGTAAACAAGATTGACAATTTCGGTGAGTGAATGAAATCGAGCTTTAGCACGTTAAGAGTTTTCTTCCTTCCAAAATTTTAGGATAAAAAATTAAAGTTAGATTTCTTATATAAATAAAACCTAGTTTTTTATTTGGTTCTTTATAATCATTTATTAAATATTTTAAAACTTGTACATGAGAAATGATAATGTTTAGATAATATATATCAATTATGATTAGGAAAGTTTGGTGGATTAAATTTATAAGTAACCAAATTTAATATATACGAAATTTATTTAAGTAAATAAATTATTTATTAATTTAGAAATATTTTAAGCTACAATTTAAAAGAAAATTTTAAAATATCATGCTTTGAGACAAACCTATGTATTATTTCAATATTCCATTAAGTTATTATAATTCAAATATGATGAATTCATTGAATTATGCTATCACTCACTCCTAGTATTTAGCAAATGTATACGTATAAAATTTTAAGAAATTAAAGGATTGAAAGAAAAAAAAGCATGTATCATAAATGAAAAACTACAAGAGAGATATATTTACTTGCAATGATTATATTTTGAACTTAAAATAAATTTTATGATTTAGTGTCTCTTTCGATATATAAGAAGTTGTTTGTTATCGGTCAATATTACTGAATAAAAATTTAACAACACTATGTACGACTATTTATTCCCATCTCAGAAGGATCAAATGCGACAAAGCCCAAGTCCATCACTGATGGGGTTAATACTTGTCCTACTAGTAAGGTTATGAATGTTTGCACTAATTATCATATTTTATAAAAGTGAATGTTCGCAATGATGCAATACTTTTTATTGGTGTCATCAGCCTGGACATAGAGCAAAATGCTACCCTACAGTCGATCAGAAGACTTCAAGAGAAGTGAAATAACCCGAAGTGCCTTTACAAATGATTTATGGCAAACAAATATGATAGAATCGATTGCTTCAACTCCAACACAAAGTCAACGAATATTGAATTTATAACACGATTTTATACTTTAAATCAACATGAGCCTAATCAATTGACAAAGTTGTTTAAGATGTTAATGAAAAATACATAATGTCCCATTATTTTACATGCAATGTCTTGTTATGCAAAGTTATGTACTCAATATAAATATTTATGTTGACTAAAATTAAGTTCATGTTATTTTGATAAAACAACAAGTAATTTTGTTTAATTCATCACATGACAGCATAATGTAACTTAAAGTAGTAGATAAATTTTGATTATGATTTTTTTATAAATAAGGAAGATCAAAATATCTCATTTAAAAAAAATGAACTAATTAATGTTTGTTCAAATGAACTGACACTAGTCAATTATGACCTTATAATCAAGGGAAATGGAATATGGAGAGGGAGAAAAAAAAGGAGGATGAGAACGAGAGCCAAGGCAAGAGAGAGGATCTATGGGTGAGTAGTCTATTTCCAAGAGAATAAGGAGAGAGAGAGAGAGAGAGAGAGAGAGAGAGAGAGAGAGATGAGGGATTAATCAAGAGATGGAAAAGGAGAGGGAAAGTTCGAGCAAGGAAACGAGCGTGAGCGAACCAAGCAAGTGAGGGCAATGAAGTGCGACCCAAGACGATGAGTTGTGATGGGCAGAGTTATAAATAGGATTGACAATCTTAATGACATGAAATCAATCTTAAGAAAGTGAAGAGTTTTCTTTCTTTAATAGTTTTAGGGAAAACGTTTAAGTTAAATTTATAGTGCCCCTCAATTGTTGCTTAGGGATGTATCATGTCCAACATTGCAAGTGGACTATCATGATCCAAAGGCCCACCCATACCATGGCTTTGTAATCAAACTATATTTTCAACATCGTATGTTTCTTGCAATCAAGTTATACTTGCCCTTTCTTTGTTCTCAAAAGTAATTTGCAATCTATACGATGAATTTCATATCGAATACATCCATCTCTTCATTCCAATTGAGATGATCACTACATGTGGCTCGTTATTGTTCAAATAAATTCCATGTTAAGCTTGAAATGAATTTTTGCATGAGTCCTTGCTTGCTTGCATATGGTTTGAATGAATCACATTTTCTTAATTAACACTTGTATTCAAATTAAAATGATAATTCCATTGGGATTTTTTTGTGTTATCATTCAAATGAAACTCCTTATAGATTGTCCATCTTAATTATGTTCAAATCCAAGTTAAATTCATGTTTATTGTTTAGTTCAAATCAGATTTGATTCCAAGTCCTCTGCAGTCCAAATTGTAAGTCTTTACTTGAGTTCAAATTATTCAAGTCACGTCCACTTAATATTCAAATGAAATTCAAGTTCAAGCTTATTTCATTTAGATTCAAGTTTTTTTTTTGTTTCTTGGTCATTTATTTTCTATTCAGATACAAGTCCAAGTCCCCTATTTAGTTCAAATTTCAGCAACCTCCTGGCGTCTCCCTTGTTTAGGAAAAATTTTAGGAGTTTGTGCCTCCCGCCACGCTAGAGAAAAGAGTATATGGTAGTTGTCAGACGACACCGCGACCATAAATCTTCAATCCCACCACGCCAGAGAAAGGTGTGTATCGGTCTTCGGGTTAACTATTTTAAAATGCACAGTTTTATAGTCGTCCCTGCCATGCTAGAGAAAATCGCATACAGGGCCTACCCGCCTCTTCGTAGACACCGCACCGGGTTCCCTTCCCACCATGCCAGAGAAAAGTGTTTATAAAAGGTTTTTCGATGCAACGCGAACGCTGAAAACAGGAGTTTGAGCTTTAGAAGTTATACCTGCGCGTGGAGGCAACGAAGATATTGACAAGTGCAAAAATATATAAACTACACAAGATCCCCTCTTTTTTTGTCAAATTTTCTTCTCCCTGTTCCTTCTATTATTTTTTTCCTTTTTTTCTCTTTTTGTGGAAATGATAATACTACTTTTATAATTAATGACAAAAACTATTAATAATAATAACTACCATTAATAGCATTAACGATAATGATCATTATTATTACACATAAATAATAGTAACCAAGGCAATAAATATTATTATCATAACTATTAATTATAATAATACTCTTTATTGTTATTCTTGTCGACAATAAACGCAATAAATACAACCATTAATCAATATGATAAATAGAAGATGAGGACCAAAAATTTTCATATGGATTTATACCTGTTGAGTTGGATTGAATCAAGTGATTACTGTCTAAGTTTGTAAAGTAAGGTGGAGATGGGCTTGAACATGGGTTGGTTAAGAGGACTTGAGTTAGGTCAGTTGATATGAAGGGCTAGTTAAAGGCTTGAAGTGGATAGGGAAAGCGATTGCAATAGGGGCTTTGGCTATAGGTAGGAGTGACGGGATCGCTCGGGCTTCAAAGAAGACCGGGCTAGAGCTTCATTTGGGCCATTAGGCTTCGTCGGAGAGATGGGGTTCGTGGCCTGGGAGGAGGAAGAGGATGGCGAAGGATTGGCGTCAAATCAGGGAAACAAAAGGCCGTGAGTTGAGTGGGGAAGCAGAGAGCGGAAGAAGAACAAAGGCTCTGGCGGGCCTCATTTTAACAACAAGACGGAGGCTCTTATCGAGGTAATTAGCGAGATATCCGGGATTTTGACAGAGCCGGCAGTGATACGAGGTTTGCGGGACTTCTTGCAAGGATTAGGAGAATTTTAGTGAAAAATCAGTAGGATTCCGGGAAGCATTCAACAAAGCCGAGGTATGATTTTATTTTTATTTTTTTTTGGAATGTCTGTTAGAGGTCAGCAGCAGGCAACATCAAACACTACAACGTACAGTTCACCTAGAAAATTATAACTTATATGCATTGAAGGAAAATAACTACCTCAGCTTGAAGGGCTCCTATTTTAATCTAACAGATAGTTACAAACATATTATCAAAAATTTAAGATGAACTGCATTTTGGGTCATATACCTGTTTCTTCTGAGAGTTTTCTTTTTTCAAGTACTCTGCAAAGAACTCTTTCGTCATGGGACACCATACTTCAGCACACTGAACATTCGCTATGAATCCTCCCTTTACTAGATCTAGCCAGTTAGCTTCATATAGCTTAGGTCCAATAAGGAAGTTCAAATCTGTTATTCGCTCATCCTCTCTCACAAGTGTTGCTGAAATAATGTAAGACCAAAAATAAGGAATCAGAACAACAAGATATAGACGGATTTAATAAAGAAAATTTCATATGCATAGAGAAGCATCTAACCAGTAAGCCCAAGTTTGCAATGTGATTTTGTGATACTAATGACTTTACGAAACATGTGTGCAGGAACAACATGCACCTGAAGAACATATAAAATATGAAACTCCAAAGATTCCGTTCAATCTTCAGTCATGAAATAAGAAATTCAGAATTGTACCAATATCACATAGAACTGATGCATGAAAAGCAAAATTTAAATGGTTCTATAGCCAACGATAAAGACACCTTACCTCATCCATAAGAAGCAAACCCCACTCTCTATTCCTAATTTCTTCAATGATTTTCTCAGAATCTTCTGAGCGTTTGCCACCAAAAGCAACCATATTGTATGTTGTCACAACAACACCAGCATTACCACGGAACTTTTCCTTGTTATCAGATGTGAAACGACAGATTTGATCATCTCTAATTGTGGACCAAAGCTTGAACTGAAAAGCCCATTGATCCACAGAGACAGCATTGGTAGCCAAGCAAAGGCAGCTTTTCTTTATTCGACATGCTGCAGAAACACCAACAAGTGACTTTCCAGCACCACAAGGTAACACTATGATACCAGATCTTGCTCGTCCTGAAATTTTAGACAAAATAGTTTACAAAAACCTTCATCAACAAAAGGGTCATTAAAATATACATAAAAGTCATACATGACTTGAACTCACTAGTTGAAAACCAAAATTAGTCAGAAAAGACATTCTTTATTACATTTTTCATGGCTCAAAGAACAGAATCTGAGATTATTCACATACTCATGTCCAATTTGTGATTTATCGGATCTTTTTTTTTTTTTTTGGCTACTTGATTCTTGTCATATATTTATCAAATTATCACTAGAAGCAGATTATTCATGACTTTTCTGTCAAAGATACTACCATGTAAATGGCTCTATGATGTGTATGCTAACGTGGTCCTCAATATTTGAATTTTCAGAGGAACCTCCTACAAATCTAGCTTGGGTAGCTTTTTCTCATCTTCAAGTCCACTACTTTTAACCATCCAGCTTATATTCATTCTCTAGGCTCTATTTTTTGTTAAACATTTACAAGTGGATGCTATTATTACTATGCTCTCTACTAGGGCATTGTAGCTAAGGTCTTGGTTAAAATGGAAATTATTATTCTTTATAAGATTTAGAGTGGTTCCTCCTTAATTGGTTATGCACATACCAATGTTTAAAATTTTGTAATCGGGTATTGAGACGTTTTTCGTTGGTGAGGCGAGACGTAAGCCACAAAATCAAAAGACTGCACAAACATAAAATAATAATTTTTTTATATACTAATGAGCAAAAAATATAAAATATAAAAAGGCACAAGTTATGAAGTGAAATCAAAATATCCCAATAATAAGACAATATGAAATATAGTACAACTCAAATTCTATCTTTCCCAAATTACAGTATTCTTTTCATTAACATATAATTCCAAAATTAAATAGCAATGAATACAACAATATGCCGGGCAGCCGGGGGTCCAAGGGGGCGCTGCCCCCTGGCGGGGTTCGACCTGATAATTTTTTAAGTTCGTAATTTTTATTGCAAGAATAATTTTGAAGTTCTGCTTATTTTTAAAGTTTGTAAGTCGTTTGTACGGAATGATACTTAGCGGTACCAAGCATTGTTGTACCTAGTGATACCGAGCAGTACCGAGCATGTACCTAGCGATACCAAACGGTACCGAGCAGACAAACCAATTGTGGAATCTTATTAGGTTAGGGCTTCTTTTTAATTTTAATAGGCGGATGCCTCTAAAATATGAGGCGAGGCGCGCCTCAAGGGGCGCCTCAGTGAACATGAGGCGTACGCCTTAATGCCAACTCTCATTGTGTAGGCTTTGAGGCTTAAAAGTCTGAAATTGCGCTGAGCGCGCCTCTTATTGCGCAATTTTAAACCATGGCACAAATAGTTAAATTTTAAGGCATGCCTTCCTAGTATTCGTACAAATTTTTGGTCACAACTAAGAATGTTTCAAGAGTCATACAGAACTACGAAAACCATCCTAGCCATTAGAATAATAGGAGCATACAAATAATCGAAATATACCAACAAACCTGATGGTCGCACTTCCTCACATTTCAAAGCTAAGTTTTAACACAATTTGAAACCAACTATAGATATTGCCATGTAATCAAAGCATTTCATTGATGTACTATGCCCAAAAAAGTTATCGGCGCCTAATCTACATACAAGATCATTGATATAAACTCACCATATGCCAGTTCTTCATGATCATCCTTTTGTTAAGGATATTGGTGACCCAAATTTACAGTAGCCTTATGACTCAAATGGTGGTATTCCGAGTATCAAAGTACAAGAAGATAGAAGGTTTCAAAACTATTTGTCAAATGAGAAAAGAATAAAAAAAATACATATATTATACCACTCACCAAACTTCACTAAACTTCAAGCAAGACACAATAAATAAGAATTTTTGAACACTCATCGAAATAGTTTGTTGTGGTGGACAAATTGAAATTTATTTCAGATCATAAAGAGCTAATGCCTAGTCAAAAATATCACTAGGATCCATTCTCAAATAATCTCATGTCAATAAGGATGTGGTACGTGTCTTATGATCGGCGATTTTGCCGCCAAATGGCATCGCAGGATAAACGATTATGACTCGGAGCCCTCTGAACCGAGTGATTTTGCCGCCAAATGGCACCACGAGATAACAATTATGGACAGAACCAATACGTTCCTTAGTGACATCAAATCCTTGAGATATGAATAAATAGGAGATGATCGATAGGGCACAAAGCTCTCTGTTAGCTAAGGTGGATTCAAATTTGTCCCTTTAGGCAAATACCCACTCCAGGTCTACAAGGTACCCTTATAGACGAAGCAACCCATGGCTGCCAATAGGGATCCTTCTATCAGGTTGGGTCGACTACCTCCTCTGACTAAGTAGGCCAGGGACTACGATGGCTTGAGACAATGGAACCATGGGATCTTGATCGGGTCCATCATTCATTCCCCCACTATCCGCTTTAAGTGCAAGATGGTGCAATTTTAAATTTTAAATATTTAACTTTCCAACATTTAATCCCATGCTGCTACTATATGCCATATAACATGTATCCCTACGTATCTGATTGACGATTAGCCTTAATCGCAAGTTCTCTCTCGTGATCGGGAGGGGTAATTAAATATAGGGGCATGTGCCTATAGGAAACCAAAACTCAGATCATAAAGTCCTCGCGAAATGAGGGTGAAATCTCTAGATAGTGTCTTATCTACAAAACCATCTGCCTTCTCAAAATTTACCCCGAAACTTAAATCAATTAAAACTCTTCCGAAGAAAAGCAAAGCGGGGGAGGCCAGGGCCGAAATTTTGGAGCCTACATGCTTCCATGTGTTCCTCCGGAGGATTATGCATGAATTGACTTATAACACTCATTGCAATGTTTGATATCTCCCAATATCTGCAAAATTATCTTTCTCAATGCCAACTTTCTTCTAACTATCCATAAGAGTATCAACAGTTTTGCATCTAAGTATATCAGTCTCATTAAGAAGATATATAATATATTTCCTTTAAAAAATAATAATGCCCTATCTTGATCCAGTCCCTTACATTCCAAAAAAATATTTAAGATTTCCAAGATCTTTAACCTCAAATTCTTCTGACAAATACTTCTTCAGATTTTGTAATTCTTCCACATCATTCACAGATAAAATAAAATCATCGACATAGACTATCAATATAGCAATTTTTCCAATGTAATATCAGGTTGACCATATATATTGCCTAGCTTCAAAATAGACTCTATGAATCTATCAAACCATCCTCGTGGAGATTATTTAAGTCCGTTCAATGGCTTCTTGAGTTTGCAAACCTAATTCTTTGTCCTTTTTTTTCAAAACCAAGTGGGATTTCCATGTGGACTTCCTCTTCGAGAACTCCATTTAGAAAGGCATTTTTATGTCCAGTTGTTGCAAGTATAAATCTTAATTGACACCCAATGAGGGAAGAATTGGAATAGTGTTAAGCTGTGTGAATAAGAGAAGAATTCTAAAAGTGTTAAGCTTTGTCATAGGAGCAAAAGTTCTAAATAGTCAATCCCATAGGATTGTGTAAATCTTCTAGGTATCAATTGAGCCTTGAACATCTCAACTGATCCATTTGCTTTGTACTTTATAGTGAAAATTTACTTGCACCCCACAGGTCTTTTTCCAATTGGCAAATTAGTAATAATTCATTTACCATTCTTCTCAAATGCATCAATCTCATCTTGTAATGCTTTTTTTCAGTATGAATTTTGCAATGCCTCTTGTATTGTGCTAGGAACCTAGATATTATCAAGAGAAGTAGCAAATTCTTTGTAAGACGGTGATAACCCTTCATAAGTAACCTATGATGCACCGACACTTCTCCTCAAAGAGGCGTGCAGTGTCCGACACGACACTCGCCCGACACTCCAACACGTGTCGGACACGTCAAAAATGTGCCCGATTAAAAAAATACTAAATACAAATTGGACACACGTGACCGACATGCGTATCTTAAATATTTTATGAATTTTTTTAAATATAATTTCTTGTATTTGGAGGGATTTAAACAAAATTTCTTATTTCTTATCCATAACATCAAGTCAACGTCCGCACTTAATATCCGTTAATCGAATATTCTCATTTTGATTTCTCATTGGCAGTGAAGGCATTTTCATCTCCTCTCTCGGCGACTAATGAAAGGCATCGAGGCTAGACTCTCGACATCCTAATATTAATCATTTTAAGCACAAATTCTAGTTAAATGACTTATTATTTCTATTTTTTTTTTTAAATTATACTTATTGAAGTTTTTTACATAATTTTAAAAATATAAAAACTATAACATCGTGTCCAACCTGTGTTCGTGTCCTATATTTTCAATAATTGATGTGTCTAGTGTCCGTGTCGTGTCGTATTTGTGTCGCCGTGTCCGTGTCTGTGCATCTGATAGGAAACACTTGAGTTCGCAAGTGTTTCTCACCAAAACTGAAGTTGATCCGATGGAAACTGCTGTCCACAGCAGAAATACAGCAAAAATCTGCTGTTTACAGCAGAAAAACAGCAAATTGACAAGGAAATCTGATAGAAAACGAAGAAAAACTTTTGTATTTCACTAGTAGATGAATAAAACAGAAAAGATACAATTGATCCTCAATTCGAGAGGAGGATCGATCTCTCCCAAATCTCTAGACGCCGCTAGAGCCCAAAGAAACCCTAAATCTACGAGATCTCAAATTTCAGCCAAATTCAAGATGCTCAAACCCTAGGAAAATCTACTATTTAATGCATACAAATAAAAAGGAAATCCCTAAACAGTCCCTACATTCAAATTTCCCTCTCAAAATGCTAAAAAACGCTTCCTAAAATGATCTCTTCGGCTGGTCGGGCCGCTCGATCTCCGCAGGAGGCGGAGATCGGTCGCTCTTTGCGACTTGCCGGTCCTGTGCGGACCGGCTGGACCGGTCCAGTGGACCGGTCTAACAATACTCCCCTCCCCAAAATCCACCTTGTCCTCAAGGTGGAGATATGCTCGTGTTCCGGTGGAGGTGGCCATCCTTGAGCTGACTGAATAACCTTTT